GCCATCGCTAGTATGGTGGAGGCCATCGCTAGTAGGGTGGAGGCCATCTTCACATCCATCAGGCCATAGCTCGCCTTATCCAGCTCCTCTTCCACCTTCGCTCGCTGCCGGAGCTCTGGAAACGGTGGCGGGGCCTCATGCCAGAGCGACCACAGCCTCGGCTCTAGAACCCACTGCCATGTCGCAAAAAACTCTGGTTTACTGCCAAATCTCCGAAAATGAGGCCTCAAAAGAAAGTTGTTGGCTTTTTAAGGTGTAAAAAGCAGTGCTGCGACTTGGGAATGCGTTTGAACCAAAACAACAACCAATGAATGCGCCTTTTGGTGACCGCTCGCGCAGTGGCTATACACACCTTTTCTGTAGTTACTAGTTGAACATGGAAGAGTTTCTTTCAAGGTGTCCCGACATCTTTTATAGACACAAATCCTGCGCACCGTCCCTGTTCAAGGGACATGCTCAGTCTGCTCACTTGGACAAGCCTGAACCAGAAACATTCAGCCCTCCACAGGCGCAGCGACACCCTATATAACACCCTGAGCTGCAAAAGGGAATCATCGCAACATGTTGTGTATGAGGTTATTGTTTAGTTGTCAGAAAAACGCCCTTTCAAACGCTCCTTGAGGATCTGAACAAACCTTCTGATTGTCCAAACATCAAGCTCAAGTTCAGATTAGTCTCAGTTCTTCAGTTCTTACTTCCTTCGTTTCAGTTCTCGCATTGCCCAGCCCAAGGCACTTCAAGGCGGCTTCTTTCAACATCGCATGGGTGAGGCTCAAGTGGCCCAGCGCCAACCCCGTCACAATCTCCATAGCTCTGGCGGCGGACACCCGCCCCAGCGATCGTTTTTTTCCTGACTCAGTTGTTGTGTCCTTTTTGGATCGTTTTCTTTGAGTGTTAAGACCTGCACTTGACCAGCGACCCCGCAATGTGCCAACATCACGATCATCTATCCAGAGCAATGCATTCAAGTTGATCAATACTCAGCTCATGTTAGATCACCCCGGGCTTGGTCATCGTGCCAGCGTTTTGGGACCTTTAAGGACACGCAAACCTTTGTCCATTTTGTTTGACACATCACTCGCTGTGCAACGTCCGAGGTCCCCGGGTCGTGCATCTTTCGAATCGTGCCGATCTCGAAAACGCTGGCAGGCATGCGAAACGCTGGCTGCGCGCAGGATTCAGCGTCGGATCGCCCGGTTGTCAAAGCCTTCCACACTCGGTGTGTTTCACTTGGCACAAAAGGTGTAGCGCACCGCATGAAATGTATATTTTAATGGGGAAAGCCAATGTGGACACATCACATCCCAGCCGTGGGCCTGGGAGAAACAAAGGTTCTCACTGTTGTAGAGTAAGCACGTTCTCTTTCCAAGATGATCAACCAATAGATCAGCCCATGACCACCCAAAGAGGCGAACAAACAAACAAACAAACAAACAAAGATAGATAGAGATGAGATGTATTTTCACCCACGAAACTTGAATGGGTGTCCGAATGGAACATCTGCAGAGGCTACGTAGCCCCAAAGCCGAAGGGAAGATGCACGTGTTCACCCTGTGGTGCTTAAGTCAGTGAGTTTGTCTGCCATATCCAACCACCACTGTGCAGCGCACCCTTGGCAAAGATTCCCTTAGCGTGTGACCACATGTAGAGATCTACTGGGTCTGTACCCGAAGCTGCTTCCACAATCAAAGGTGACTCAAAACAGGGCATGCACGGGCCTCTCAAGGAAAACCCCTCATGATCATTCCTTAGATGAACAATTGGAAATCGCAGAGGTTTTGAACCAGCGTAGACAGTGTCCAAAGGTATATTACATATATAATAAGCATCTGTATATATACATATATTGTGAATTTCGAACCTTTCGGTCACTGAGGAACCAGTCTTGACCCACTCAGGTGTGTTCACGTCCGAAGCCACGAGTGTGCGAGGCCGCAAGGGTGGTGTAGGGTGGGTCACCCGTGACCTGAGCCATAGAAGCAGTGAGGACACTGCAGGGCGAGGCGCCCGACCGTTCGTACCAACCTTCAGGTGCGCTGTGAGTGGAAAACGCACGCGGCTGTGCGAGGGAAGGAGGATCTTTTGTTGCTACCTTTGTGTCAACCACATTGGTAGCGGAGCTACCGCTAAAGCTCCAGACAACACCTGACCCTTGTGCTTGGTTGTTGTTGACTGCGTGGTTGAGTCGGTGAATACGTTGTTTGGCCGCAAGGCAGTCGACGGGTTGCACAGTGTCTTGGCGGTGTTGTCACAGAGTTGTTGAGCTGCGGTTTCCAGGGAGGAAACAGCCCAATGCCACCGGAAGGTGATTCAGCTGGTTTGAGTTCCTCCACAGGAGGTTTGAGCAATCTCCCATGGAGCCAGGTTCCATCTTTCAAGCCTGGTGAGACGGACCTCACTGAATGGTCACGGAAAGTAGAGTTGCTGGCATCACTATGGCCTCCAGAACAACTACACCTGCTTGCCCCACGAGTTGCATTGCAATGTGAGGGATCAGCCTTTCAGAGAGTTGCAAGACTGGACCCAAAGAAGCTGCGCGTTGGAAGTTTGGAGGGAGTGAAGGCCATTGTGGAGGCCCTTGGAGGGATTTGGGGAAAATCCCGATTGGAGGACAAGTTCGAAAGATTTGAGCGTGCAATATACAGCACGGTTCAAAGAGCCAACGAGACCCACTCAGAAGACAAGAAGAGACTGATTGTTGAATCGCAGGGTTCACTGGAGTACAGAGAGGTGGTATCCAATCTGAAGCTCCTGGGGAGTCGATTCTTTCATGAGGTCCACTCCAGCGGAAAGAAGAACAATCCAATGACCGAAACCTATGAGGCCAATGCATTCATTGCTCAAAAAGCTGAGGGTCATGACCAAGCACCCGCCGAGTCCACCTACAATTTTGATGATTGGACCGAGGAAGAATGGATTGAGAGTCTTGCCAATGACGGTGACGAGGACGCCGCCCTGATCATGGATTTGCCAGAGCTGACCGAAGAGACGCTCAACGCCACTCAAGAGAAGTCGAAGCAAGTTTTGTGTGGTTGTGAATCAAGGGACACCGGTGTTTTGAGGGTTTTGTGGGAGACCAATGAAGGGGAAATCATTGTTTTAGCCCACAAAGGGGAAATGGTCACCGAGTGCGAGAATTGTGATGTCCGGACTAATTAGCTTGCCAGAAAGTGCGTTTGCTAGCACCGCCCAATCACCTGAAGCCAAGTCAATGCATGACGCCGAAGCCAGTGCATTATCGAGCTTTTCAACTCGTGACGCCCTGGGAATCGTAGATACAGGTGCTACTAAGACCGTCATAGGAAGCGGTTTCGTAGCCAATCTCCTAGCCGCACTAAAGCCAGAGGTTCGGCAGCAGGTCCAAAGGTGTCGATGTTCAGTGGTTTTTCGGTTTGGTAATCAAGGGACACTTGAAAGCCAGCACGCACTCGTTGTCCCAATCGGACCGCTGAAGCTCAAGAGTAGATATAGCTGGTGAAGTGATCAAAAGCACTCTCTTGAAGCGCAATATTCCAATTCAGCTGAATGCCAAGGGTTTGTTTTTAGTTGATCTAAATGATCTGATCACACCCACCAGTCAAGATGCCGAAGCTGAACCTGCCGAGACCTTCGCCACTTTGAATTGCAAAAGCTTGCCAAGTGTCTCTGTCCAGAAGCCTGGACAAGTGCAGTCGGAAACCAAGACCATGATGAAACAGAACGTTCAGGTGAGGACAGGTCTTGTAACAACCAGAATCCAACAGTTCGAAGCCGCCATGCCAGAATCAACAAAGACCCATACGAACACAAAGAAACCAAACGAACGTCCGAGTGTTCGCGGGGGTGAGAAAGTCTCATTCGAATCGGTTCCAGGGGGGGGCCAGCCCGGTGTCATCCGTTTTGGGTTCAAGACCGGATCTGTGCAATCACACACGTGTGACCATCCCATTCGTTCACCTGTGCCGCATCACTATCATGCCGACCTCCGAAGCAGCCGCTCTGAGTGCCCGCTTGGCACGTGTCATGGGGGAAGCAAAGAAGGAAGAAGCCCTCGATCAGCTCGAAGCCTTCAAGCTCCTATCACTGGACGAAATGGGCCAAGCCAAGATCGATTTCGGATCAGCCTCTCGGTCGGACCTACTCGGAGATGTGGGAAAAGGAGGGCAAGTATGTGAAGTGGTTCCAGGCAAGTTACCACTCGTCGAACAAGGTCAACCATCAGAAGTTCATCCACTACATCTCACTGAGGGTGACCTATGCCGAGCACCAACTGGGTCTGAACAGTCAAGACCTGCAGCCATCACCAAGTCAGAGGCCACTTCATCCGGCTCTCAAGAGCAAGGCCAAGGCCAAGCCGATTCAGGAAGTGACCCCGCAAGGACTTGGCAGATCTTGCCGAGGACGAATCCTGGGAACCAGTTCAGGAGATCGAGATCCAGCCAGAGATCTACACGGAGATGGCAGCCATGGACACCCGCCTTCAGACCATGGAAGGTGCGATGCAGGAGATCATTGCCCGCCTCCGGGCTTCATGAGCTCGTCATGGCTAGACTCCTTCGAGGAAGCTGATATACATGTATCGTCCATGTGCCAAAAAGATGTCAGTCCAGGTAAGACTCACAGTCTGCCCCATAAATTCCATGCACTGGTTCAGCAAATCTCAAAGGAAGCCAGTCTAGCAAGGTGTGATCCAGTGATCTCGAACGGATGCAGCCGTCTACATTTGCTGGAAGTGTTTTGTCATGAGGCCAGTGAACTGACGAAGCAAGTCCAATTGCTGGGCGGCAGAGCCAACCGTTTTGGAAGGGCGCAGGGGGACCTCAAAACCAAGGAGGGGAGAAGTGTTCTGTTTCAAATGGTGTGGAAACAAAGACCCCGTCACATATGGTTCAGTCCCACCTGTGGACCATGGAGCGCATGGAACACGTTCAATGAAATGAGATCAATCCAATTGTGTGAACATGTTCAACGAGAGAGAGAGAGAGAGAGTCACACTTGTTCGAACTTGCACTAGGAGTAGTCTTGCTTCGCATGTCACGTCAGCTAGGAAACCACACGCACTGGGAGCAGCCACGAAAATCCATCATGTTCAAGACCCCACTCCTGCAAGAGCTGTATTCATATACTCAGGAAGCCAATTTCGACATGTGTCGCGTAGGCCAGTTGACATGTCCAGAAACGAACAAACTCATACAAAAGGAGATGGCTGTAAGAACGACATCGCAAGAGATGTATGCCTCGTTGCATGGCCGGGTGTGTCGTCGAGATCATGAGCACAGACCCATTGCCGGATCCGTGACAACGCCTCTCGGGAGAATCACCGTCAGTAGCTATACAGAGAACTATCCAAGAAAGTTTGCAAGACAAGTAGCTAAGGTGATGTTGAAAGTGAAACATGAGCCATGGGTTACTGCCCTTGTAACCAGAGGAATAGATCAACCGAGTGAGGAAAGTGCATCCAAGCGGATCCGTGTGAGTTCTCCCATGCAGAAGTCCCAAGGTGGGCGACTGCCACCAACACCCCTGGAGCAATTCTCGAACGAGTGCAAGCGCCGCCGCATTGACGGCAAGACGGCCGAATCGCAGAGTATGAACATGTCACCTCAGAGACAACTAGAAGAAATCATCAAGGACATCCAACCAATGTTGCCAAGAGTAGGGAAGACTTTTATCACAAACCACCAAATCTTGGAGAGGCTTCAAAACATGTTCCCCGAAAAAGAAATCAAGAAAGTTCAAGCATGTAAGGGATCAGATCGAACATTGCCACCGCCAAGGGATTTGGTAAAGAATGAGGCCCCATATCGTCATGCCATCATCGTAAGCCGAA